CACTTCCATCTTGTTGTTTCTTGTCACACGAACGTAAGCGATTATTCGCTAACTAGTTCTTATTCGTCACTTTCTACAGTAACTGAGAATTACACTAGTGAGAATCTTACAAGATATGTATTAGATTTATATATAGCGTTGTTCTAATATAGGTATTTTGATACACAATCCGACGGTTTTCCAAATGACATGCCAATTTTTTTCCATATTTCGGTCCTATTTCGGTTATATTCAGTTATATTATGCCTTTCTTTTCCATATTTCGGTTATATTATGCCTAAATATTAAATTTTGTAAAATTTGGTGAGAAGTTTACGGAGAATTCAAACATTTATCTTGGAGCATTTTTTTCAGTTTACGAGAAATCACCAGCGACTTGGCGAACTTCTTAATTTGTAGCAAACTATTTTCCTTTCCTTTTTTTCATTGTAAACGAGCGGAGGGGGGGGGGGGAGAGTCATCGTTCATTATTTCAAATAATTTTAACAAAGTGCGTAAACCAAATTTGGCGTTATTATCGCTCAAAAAAGATGCCAAATTTAAAAACGCACCAATATTTAAATTCATGTATGTCCTAGGAAATTTTGAATAAAAATCTTTAATTGTTTGCAGGTATGCTTAGAAGTGCATCTACTTTAAGATGATGGTTAAAATTTTATAGGTTATAATTCAAATTTGTTTTTGAAAAATTTATAAAAATTATTTAAAAATAGATCATAAAAATGGGCAAATTTCATTTAGAGTGAACCTAAATTTCGAATCCTGGAAGAAGGAATCAAATAAGTTTAATGAAAAGAGTATAAAGTATTTCTTCCACCTTCCTGGCATGGCTTCGTGATGTGGCATGCCTTCGTGGTTCGCACGCTCAATGCGTAATTGAGAAGTCCGCGGTTTGATTACTGGCGAAGGCGTTGCTAATTTTTCATGACTCTTGCTTCCAATTAACTTAATGTCTCTACAGTGGCGCCACAACTAAAAAAGGGTTGTAGATGATGATTCTCCTCATCCAGGATTTAGCGATTGGGGCTCCTGAAAACCCCAGTCGCCCTTTAAAAGGAGGAGTATATATGGAGTATTTCTCCTACCTTCTTGGCATGCCTTCGTGGTGTGGTGGTCTGCACGCTCAGCGCGGAATTCAGAGGTCCGCGTTTCTATTCCCGTCGAAGGCGTTGCTAATTTTTCATGACTACTGCTTCCAATTAACCTAATGTCTCTACAAGAGATGTTAATAAATACATATCAAATTCAATTGACATTGAGGAGCTAAATTTTGAGCTAATTTTTTAAAAACAACTCGTTTGACTTTTACAAAATTTTGCAGATTGGCATAATTTGAGTCGTAGAATCGAAATATGGAAAGAAATTGGCATGTCATTTCAGAAAAATTCCAATTTTGCGTCAAAATAACTATATTAGAAAAATTGGATTATATAGATGTAATACATATCCTAAGTCGCGCTTTCGAGACCTGAAAAAAGCAAGTTCGAATTTCGTTAATCGGCCCAATGCAACGCGAGATATAGAACTGTAATCCCCCCTTTTTTTTTTTCGCAGCGTACATTTGCATCGCATAACTCAAAACGATTAGTCGTAGAGAGTTGAAATTTTGTAAACGGGACTGCTATAATATTCATTTTGACTCTTTTTTTTTTAATTTGGGCAGTGTACATATAGTAGTATATATATTTACCCCCTTACTTGGCCTTTATTTTAGCAATCGTTGGTTATATCTTCCCATTACAGAAGTGTTTTAAATGACCAACAATGTTTTGGCTATATCAAATAAAAAATATAAATAAAAAAAAAAAAACAATTTTCGACAAATAACGAAATTTAACTTGTCATGCGGCCTCCCGGCTCCTATACTTATATTTGGAAACGTTTTATTTATACTCGTTATGAAAAGATAAATTAGAAGTTTGACTAACGTACGACAAAGACTGACCGGGATATTTAATTCAAAATTTGCAATTTTTGATGTCATTTTCAACTTGCCTTCAGGAATCAGTTAATTAAGTTAGAATCATTCGAAAAAATAAGTTTAAATGAAGTGCAGCAAAAAATGTGTATAATTTAGTAGGCGGTACAAGGAAGTCATGTGTGTCCATATCAGATTTTTAAGTATTAATCCTGATCTCATAAAAATGATCATCAAAATGTTGGTTCCTGGGAAACTCGATTTTTTTGGGGGGCGGGCCCTAGAAATTTTTTTCCTAGAGGGACCCTAGAGTTCTAGTTACGCCACTGACAACTGGTTTTGCAAATATAGCTTGCTTTGCGGCGTTTTACTTTTGAAGAGCATACTTCTACGTTCTAATTATAATTTTTTTTTTTTTTTTTTGACTACTAGTGACTATTTTTTCTAAACCGTGGTCTCTTAGTTATCCGGAAAGTCTGTTAAGTGGATCATTGTAAGAAGCCGTTGAAGAAATACTAGAGGAAGCGTCATGTACTATACACGTATGTCACGTTGGAATCTACAGCTGTCCATTTTCTAACTACTTCCAGTAAAAATTTTGTGACTGATAGTTATAGTAAATTTTGAATGCATCAAATAAAGTACAGTTTATGAGAAAGAATGTTAAATTTTTTACCACTTTAAACTTTTTCGTAAGATACTACTATTCGCTAATACTGATCTGTGCGATCAACTCCTTTCATGTGTTTATTGCATTCTAATATGCACGTAGATTTAACTATATCATTCATGTAATTTCGTTTTTGCTTGTCACTTGATTTCAGAGAAGCATATTGAATATCTGTTATCACGTGCTCTAGTCTTTTATCCTTTTAAGCAATGAGAACAATAGGTCCTTTCCGTACAAAAGTTATTACTCCTTTGCGTTGACTTTAGTATTAGAGCATTTGGCAAGCCACGATTTTCTCGTATGTTACCACAGACTACTGTTTTCTTTCTTAGTAATACTTCGACTGCAGAAATGCTGTTATAATAATTTTCTTGGTATATATGAAGCTAATGACTAAGCTATGACTCCGACACAGACAATATGGCTTCCTGCCGTTTTTTCTTTGCTGGATTATACTATGTTCTGAAGCTAAGGCATCCTCTGTAGGATACCACACTGCTTCATTCATTAGCTAACTCCTTTTTGGGTATGTATAGGGATTGAAATTTCAGAATAACATAATCCAAAAGCAATCTAATTTTGCAAAGCTCGTCTTCAGTAGATGTATTTTGCACATTGTCACTCAGATGTAAAACATGAAAATTTTATCAAATTTCATTCTGGATATAGTTTTATGAAATACTGGTGTTCCACTAAAGGGTCCGTTGACCAATAATCTCTTCAACGCGATTTCTCGGTTTGGCTTATCAGTATCAGTAATCCAAAAATCTTTTTTATTTCGTTAATTGATTATCTGTCTATGGTAACGTTTTCACAGGAATACACACATTTCACAGGATTTCATAACGTGTTTTCGGAATTCTTTCAATTAAGAGAGGTTCTAATTGGTTTGCGTAACAATTAGAGTAATTAATTCATCAAAATAGTATAAAAAAGTAAAGCCGTTATCTCACTGATACTCGGCGCATCATCAAGTTAAACATTTGTTCCGGGGATGTTTAAATAATCCTCTGCGGTTTGTGTTATATTATCCTTGATCCACTCTTCTTCCAAATATTTGTTACTAGCATACCAATTTATTTCAAAATCGCTCGGACACTCAGATAAATCATCCGCGTATGTTAAATCATGTTTCATCGTTACGTTACGTCATGGTTGAAATTTCTTTTTTATAGCAAAGGAGATACAACTTGACGAGTTTTATTGGCTAAATAATTAGCTAAAGAAGCTTGAGATATGCTGAAAAACAATTACACCCTATGGTCTCCAAGAATGCATTGACCGAACGAAGTTGACGCAAAACAAGGGAGCACGAATCAACGAGTTTACTCAGATCGGTCAGCAACGTTTTGGCACAACGTCACGAATTTACTCGTAGCGGGGTCAACTACGATTTAGCATGACGACTCAAGTTTACTCGTCAACAATGTACTTAAAACACATATTATTTAGTTATGTAACACATATTATGTAGGCTGATCTTATGTAGTTAAAACACAAATTCTACAAACAAAAGCGTTAAAGGATAAGTAAATTAACAAAATAATTTAGTATTCAGTTATGGTCTAAGCCAAGATGTTCTAACCAGCATTTCTTCAAACATATGCTCATGCACGACCGCATATTAAGTTCAGTGGTGTTTCGCAAAGTTTTTTACAATACTTCCTGTGCTCCAATCAGATGCAAGATATGAGTAAACCAAATACTGATGATAATTCAAATAATGCCACATGCAGGACTTAAATATTAGAAAAATCAGAGGGAATATCTTTTAAAATGTATATCCGTTTACATAAACTTAAATGTAGACTCATCTGACTTACACAGATTCGTCATTTCGGTCTGAGGTTATATTCGTCGACAAGGAAAAGCTTTCAGAAAGTTATTTGATATACGTATCAAATGGTTCATATTTATTAGCTGCTTAAATAAATATGATAGCTAATACTAATCAAGGAAATTTGTTTCACTTCTGTAGCCCCTTCTACGTTAGATTATATGGAAGAAAAATCCAGTTCCCGAAAATTTAATTGTAAGAAAGCTATGTATTTTCTTCTGTAAAATTAGCTATACATCTTAGCCATAACAGACTTTCATGGGACCTTTTTTTTGGAAACGTTGGCCATAAATACATAATTCCAACTACACAAAAGTGTTTTAAATTATAAAAAATAACCACATTGTCATTTTTTAAATTAAGAAATCAGTTTTCTGAAAATTTTGAACTCTAATTGTTAATATGGTCCCTCGCTTATTGTACTTATATTTGGTAAAAGTTTGTTTTCATTGTAGAAGAAAAAAAAATTTGAGGCCCGAAAGACAAAAGTTATTGACCGGGGTATGTAACTTCAAAGTCTGACATCTTGTTTTTGAAAAATTCAGGGATAGTACACAGATTGAAGAATGAAATAATTAAGTTTATACGTAACTAAAAAAACAATAAATTTAGGGAAAAGTTTTTGATGATATTAATATATTAAATGACAAACAGTGCTCTGCAGATTGTCGTGAAAAAAATCAGTGATCCATAGAAATGTTTTCTAAAAGAAGACGCATTCAAAGAAGCTTTACAAAATTCATGTTGTACAAGAGGTGGCAGGTTTCAGTATCGGCCCATAGCAAACCTGCAGAACTATTTGTATAAAATAAAAAAAGAAACATATATTATTATATTATGCTATATATTAATAATAACAATATATATATAATATTATATAGATATTATGATAACCTTTTTTATTATGAAGATATATTAATGATATTAATTATAACCTTTTTTATAATTATTAGATTATGATACTGAAGTAATAAAATCGAGTGAGAAAATTAATAACGTACTTTTAGTATTTGAAAACTTATAAATTGCTTGGGCAAAAATTCTTTGTATTTCAATATGTAACAAATTTTAAATTTAAAAATGTTACGTACTAATAAATTACAAAAGAATACCACTTGATGATATTAAAGGTAAAAAAAACTCTATCGAGTTATTCGAATTGATTTTGTAACTTACCCCTGAGATTAGCGATAAAGATGACAAAAATCCCATCTTTTGAATTGAATATATCCATTAGTTTTTATCAAATGAGAGTCAAACTTTTTTTTTTTTTTTTTTTTTTTTTTTTTTTTTTTTTTTAAGTTTATACGAGTATAAAAGTTTTTTTAAATAACTAAAAAGATCAATTGACCATATAAAAAAGTTACATTGTAAGGATTCTTAAGTTTTACTAACGTTTATTTTATTTTTAAATCTTTACTATCACTTCTTATTTTCTACTTCCGGCCAGAAATTAAAGCGTGAAGGAGTTTAGCAAAGTTGTCTGGCGAACGCCAAGTATTTAAGTGTGGCCTTTTTGCCAAGCAGAAGAGAGGAGCCGTGAGTTCGAAGCAGGCCGCTTACCTTAGAAGTTACGCAGTTGCTACTTTGCCTTCCAGGCCAGAGGTTTTAATCCTCTTGATAAATTAAACGTATTGTAGTGTTCACAGTCTCTGTGCTACATCGCTTTCTGTTATTATAAGGCCAATCTTATTCTAAAGTTAAATTAGAGTTTAGTTTTATTTTGATATCTTTTAAGTTAGACCCCGAGTGGAGGGTCATGTATTCCGAAGTACGGAAGTCATTGTATATAAAGAAAAAATAAAGGGTTTTGTATACCCTTCGTCTGTATCCTGTCCAACTTACTACAATTAGTGAACATAGCTTTAGTAAGCTCTCTGTTCTAGTCAGGTCATTGTATGTTTCCGAAGAAAGTTAGAAGAAACATTGAACCTGATAACATTTGGTACTTTTTATGAAACTGACTTTTTACGAAGCTGAATTTAAAAATGTCAAAACATAAATATTTACATCATTCAAAACCTTTTTTTTTTTTTTCAATAAGAAGTATATGGCTACGATAAGTGGTTTGGAAAATAAAAGGCGCTTAAAGACTTTTATCGATGCCGTGTAATAAATTGTTGTGGCAAAAAAAATTTGGAACAATATGTACAGATATCATAATAGAAAATGCATCTCAAAGCATTTACGCAAATTACTATTTGAAATGATTCTTTAGCAGATGATTGCAGTTAAAGTTTAAAAAATGAAAGTGGTTTTACAGAGATTTCTTAATAAGTTTGTAAGGTCCTTCACTTGAAATTCTAAGTTAATGTTGGAAGTGAGGAACCTAGGAACTGATAAGCGAATAATCGCTAGAGTTCGAAGACAGGAAACAACAAGAGAGAAGGGTAAATAACCCTTTATTATTTCTATAAGATTTCACAAAACTCCGCCTGGGAGTGAACAAATAAAGTCCGCACTTTGGACTTGAACTTAAAAAGACTAAGAATTAAACTAAAACTAAGATTAACTAAGTATAGCCAAAGCTATCAAGGTACAATGAGAGTTGGCCCCTTAACCTATTTTACTATGAAGCTTAGCAAGGGCCTGAGTACGGCCGAGCGTATAACAGCTTTGAGAGAGAGAGCGGCCAAAAAGGCAGACGAGCGTAGTTCAGAAACTCTGTTTCTCTCTTTGTCTCGGTAAGTAACTTCGTGGTTTAAATACCGCTCCTTCTCATTAAATATTCAGCAAATTCCAAACTACGTTCTGGCCGGAAGTAGTAAGTTGAAGTTAAGAATTTGACAGGAAAGGAACTTTAACTTAAAATTTAACTCTTAATAAAATTAACATAATCCTTACAAGTTAAACTGGAGATTGAAATTTGTTATGATTTTGGAAAGATATAAAGAAGTCTAATAAATCCCTTAAAATTCTAGTATTTAAGTTTTCGTAAAACCCTCAAAAACGATCATTGAAAAAGTTTTAATATTGCAGATCTTAATAATTATATCACTTCAACGAAACGGAATTAAACATATGACTAAAGAAGACAATAAAGCAGGTGTAAAGAAAGAGAAAAGAGGATATTAGCTACGGTATATCTATCTCTTCCTCATTTTGTGATGTAAGACTAGGATTCAATTAAACTAGTGTAGTGCAGCAAGCACTCTTTTGTAGCCTCTTTGGTGCCCACTTTCTTCTCTGAGAGCAAGTGGCATTATGAAGATAAATAAGATGACTGAAGCCTCTTAAAAGGCTACGGGGCCTTAGACTGGCTTTGTAACTTTAGTAGCAAGGTTCTGTGTAAGAGACACGTTTTTAATGCAAAATTTTAATGCTGTCTTATTTCAGCGGATATAGGTTAAACCGTACCTGCCTAAGAATATCATAATTTCGCTAAAAATTAAAATCTGATATACGAACCGATCAACGAACATTGGACTAGTATTAAAAACATTTTCCAGTTTGAAGGAATAAGGTTGTTAGAGAAAAGCCTCATGGCCTTTATGACAAAGAAATTAAAGTAAGCCATGTTGCAGGAATGATCAAAGGAAAGAATTTTGAAGAATGATCTAAGGAAAATTGGCTCACGTTTATTTTATAAGCTCAGACATAGGAAGCCCGAAAACTCTCATAAAACACCTTCTTTGCTTGAAATTGAAAAGAATTCAGTTAAAACGCTCTTTCAGTTACTGATGGATAATCGATATTGGAAAAAAAAGAAGAAAGAAAGAAAGGAAACCAGAAATTTTTGATATTAACTTTGTTAAACATTTCTAAAATTTAAAGATTGCATATGCATTTCATTAATTCTATCTCGAATAAAATAATAAGTAAATAAATGGTATGCAAATGATTAAAAATTAGTCCACGTTTATAAAAATTATTAGAGGTCTTTTCAATAGATGCGTTTTCTGATATCTGAAATTGCCAAAGCGTTCAAGAACATTAAACCACTTTTTTGTATTTGTTATTTATAAAAAAAGCTGTCAACGATTTCATTAGTGAGAACTGTTTTTACTTCATTATACGAAGTAAAGGAAGTATTGTAATCACGAAAAATTCCGGCTACCATATTTCAACGAAAATATCCAGTTTGACCGCTATCGAATGCAATTTAAAGATTTTTTTGCGTGACATCTGTACATAAGGACAGAATAAAGAACTCTTTTCCTCAAAACGAATTATAAAACATTTAAAATGGATTCAGAAGAGATTTTTTCGCGGCGTCTGTACGTACGTACATATGTACGTATGTATGTATGTATCTCGCAGAACTCAAAAACGAGCAGCCTCAGAACATTGAAATTTTGTACATAGGACTGCTATAACATTTAGTTGTGCACCTTCCTTTTTGGTTTCAATCGGCCACACTAAAGGTATATATATACCCACTCTATTACTCGGCTCAATGAGCTCAGATTTTTGTTCGTATATGTTGGTAAATTGTGCATTTTTTGTTTTAAAAATGATTGAATTATATTTTTCTTATCTTCTAATTAAGGTTTTATGCCTTTAGCTAATCTGCATGCAATATTTGTAGAATTATCAACAATTTAAAAGTTACTTAAGTTCGGCTAAACCTAACTATTTTTTTGCCATAGTACCCATATTTATTGACATTTGAAACTTAGCAGAATAGTGAGTTAATTCTGTCTGCACTTTAAGTGTCTTTTTGCCAAGTGGAACCAAAAGTAAACTTTTAGTTTTGTGCACCGAAAAACTTGCCTTCTTGCCTACTGGCCAAATTGCTTGTTTTCGCGTAGAAACTGTAATTTTAATTGTAAAAATTGTTTTTTTTTAATAGTTTTAACTGTATTTGGTGTTTTATGTTTTTCTATATCTGTCAATTTTTAATGAAAATATTTTGATTTTTTATGTATTTTTGCCTTGCTGGAAGTCAAAACTGAATTAATAGAATGAGAAATTTATCGCTAATGAAATTCGAGGAAATAAGTTTAAATAATGCAATGAAGGAAAAATGCGTATAATTTAATATCCCGTACAAGTCATGTGGTACACCACATTAGCTTTTTTTCTAAGGAGACATAGCATTCTTTCAGTGCATAGGAAAAAAAATAGCTTAATATGGAAAGCGCACCATCGAATCAAAAGCAAAACCAGCATTAGAATGCAGTATGTAATATTCACTCATTAAAATAAGAAAGGATGTTTAGGTAAGTATTGGCTTGCGAGTCATATCGAGCATGCTAGTTCGTTATTGACCATGCATGTTTCATATTTCGTTCAATTACTTTTATCTTTCGAATTGCTGAAGGAGCAAAGTTCACTCTTGTATCTAAATGTACTGCAAAATAATCTTCTTACATCTGGTCTATTTCACATGCCTCCAAACTTTTAACGCGGTAAAGAAATTACGGCAAGATCTTCAAACAGTCGAAATTATATACTGTGTATGTTGTACATAGCATTAGAGAGAGTTTTTTCCAAGATGTCTATGTAAGGTCGCTCTCAAAGTCGTTAAAACCATTCTCAGGATTGCTCTAAAAATATCATCGGAAACTGGTAAGCTGTTCAAGCTGTAAGGTCTCGCTTAGGTTTTAACCAGTTATTTTATGTTAATTGGTTTTCCTGTCCTCCTCGTTTCACATTTTTCTACCAGAATATTAATTTTTAGCTCGCATGATATTCAAATGAGATGGAAAGGAAGTAGTATTTAAAGGAAGGTTGAGGGTAGAATGAGAGCGTCTTCTGCCTTCCGAAGACCACGTTGCTAATTTCCTTCCGTAGAGCAGTGCTTCCGTAGAGCATATTCCGTAGAGCTCGTGATAGGCAACACCTTTGGCCTATCATGAGCACATTTTGGCCTATCGCGAACACATTTCCAAAACATCAACATTTTTGTTAAACATATTTCTAATCTTATGTGATACATCTAAAATATTAATTTCGGCAAATGGGTTTGAGATGAATAGTAATATTGATTGAACTTTATGGAAATCAGAGAAGGAGTTCAAAATTATTTTTCAGTGCATTTAGGTTTTCAGAGTATTTCTGTTTCAATCTTTTGTTCTGCCTTATGTTTATTAACATGGCTTGATAAATTCTGAAAAATGGGAGACTTATTTTTCTTTCATATGATTTATCCACAAATTTAACTTTATCTCAAAAGCAGTTATAGTCCCAGTCAATTAAAAAAGGGTTTTCTCTTTTCCCTGGAGATCTTCGTTCAGTTTGTTCAGTTTAGCTGATATCCGTGAGAAAATACAGATCGGATAACCAATTATTATCGTCCAATTCCTTATAACTTTTGTTTCCGGATTCTAAAAACTACTTTATTGGCAAAAGAAGCTCTACAAATCGTTGAAGTACTTTTCTCCTGCTGAGCCATCTAACATCGGAATGAAGCAATAAGATTCCATGTTCGCTATCAAGTTCATCAGTCAGCAATCAGTTATTTTATAGCATCTTGCATCATATAGTCATAAGATATCTCTTATGACTATAAATGTATATTTTAACAATTAAGAAATATTTTTAAAATATTTTTTGTTCATAGTACCTAATCGGGCTGGCGAGCACATGCAAAACGATCGGCGAGCACAATATTGGGCACCGCTGCCCTAGAGAGTAATATTCTGCCGCGTTACGTTATTTTCGCCATTAGGCTTGTCATGTTGACTTTAGGTGAGTAGATAGAAAGTGATGGTTCTGCTGCACAGAGTGTGAGATGTGGGCGTGTTTAGTAACGTTCCCGGAAGGGAGGCTACATCATCCCTGATGTCAACGGAAAGGGGGGAGATTTTAGAGTGGAGGCTAAGAGATAAGAAGGACTGTGCTATGATTCTTCATTTAGTTGATAAAGCTGACATCACAATTTGATAAGAGATCATCTTTTATTGATTTACCGGAAATGATTTCTTTCGTTAATAAATCTTTATCCTTTGTATTTTTCTTCGTATTCCAACTATTTTATTACGTATATGATGTATTATTTCCCAGGTACCCTTAACGGCGCTTATTTTTCCAATTTATTAACTGATTCAGAAGGTCTTAATTTTAGATGTAACATTTTTAGCTTCTGTTGCCCATTTTAACCGTCATAACATTTAATATATTCTAATTTTTAACCAATTTATATTTTCACACTATATTCATGACTTTTACTTGATTTCTTTCATCCATTTTATCCTTCATAATTTCCAATATATTCCTAATTTTAACATAATTCGTATATTTTCAGCTCATATACCTGACTTTTATTTAATTTTAGATGTAAATTTTAACTTTTTTTTCTATTTTTTAACGTTTACAATTTCCAACATACTCTGAATTTTAACTACTTTGCTATATTTTCGCACTATGTAGATAACTTTCATATAATTTTTAACTACTTTCATACGTTTTAACTTCGTAATTTCAAACAGGCTCTTAAGTTTAGCTTGATTCCTCTATTTTCGTACCATATATATGGGCTTTATCTAATTTTAAATGCTATTTTTAACTTGTTTCGTACATTTCAAACCTTTGTAATTTTTAAAGGCCTACCAGCGGCCGAGCGGTAAAGACGCTGAACACTGGTAGTTCGGTCCGAGCTTCGAAGCCCGCGAACGGGCTGGCTGCATGGGCGTTTTCGTGGTTTTTCCCATGTGTAATGTGTATACGATCCAGTTTCCCTTAGAAAGTCCTCCACGAAGGCATCCCTCCCTTTAGGCAGATAGCCCTCATGTGCTTTGCCATAATTGAATAACCCAACCCGTAATTTTTTAAAGTACTCTAATTTTGAACTTATTTATTACATTTTCCTACCATACACATGAACTTTAATTAATTTTAGATGTAATTTTTATACTTTTCTGACACTTTTTCTTTCTAGTTTCCAACATACTCTAAATTTTAACTCTTTTCTACAATTTTCGATTGTAATCACGCTTTTGATTTTACTATTTCAGCTAAATTTACATATTTAAATGTCTTAAACTATAGATATACTTTCAATTAAGCATTTTATTTTATAATCTTTAACTGTTATTCATATCCAATTCCTTGAATTGCCCTTACTTAGTCTATATTTTATAGTACTCTTTTAATTTGCCAACTCTATAATGTATCATTCTGTAGCTACACTTACCAAGACTGATTCTACTATTTTACTTCATTATTAACTTCATTCGAATTTTCAAACTTTATAATGTCCTGCATATTCTGGCATTTTCTTATATTTTTTAGATCATTTATAAATGAATGCATGCTTTTAAGCTCTTCAATGTTATCAATGTTAAGTTTTCAACCTCGATTCTCATTAAGCTAACTTGATAGATTCCTCATTTTAGAATGTAATCTTAGCTTTCATCCACAATTTTAGAACCATATTCACTGTTTCATGTACACATCCAGAAATCTTTCTTATTATTTTGAACGCTTAATACCGTTTAATTCAGTATTTTTTGCTAACTGACTGCATCCTACATCACTTTAAATGTTTCGATTATGCAAATTTTCACTTTATTACCTTTTTCCTGCACTACGTACGGATATTTCTGCCTTCATGCGCAACTTCATGTGAAATTAACGATTATTTACGTTACATATACAAAAGAAATTCCTAAGCTAAATATTTTCAGTGTCGAATCAGAGGTGAATTACCATCAATTTTACCCATTGGTTATCATTTCGTCTGTGGAAATTTTGTTTTATTTATATACCTTTATTTCTAGCGCATAATGTTAACACATGTCTTCGAACTTAATTCTGTTCCAATTTAATTCACTAGCCAGCTTCACATCTATTCTATTTTATAGGTTCTGACACTAGGATTTTTTATCATGAATATCAGTTTGCATTAATTTACTTAATAATCAATTTTCTTATTAACGAAATCTTGTGAAACACTGCCATACTTTTAGGCAACATATATCATTACCAATATACACATATATGCAGAAGGAACTAAAGAAAGAAACAGGAAGAGTTATTTTACCAAATTCTCCACCATATTTTCGATAATTTTAACTTTCATCCATCCCGAATACAGAAATGTTTTCCTTATATACTCATCATTTCAGTTAAATATTCTTTACTAATACCCATTTAATGAGGAATAAGCCCTTTTCAATAAAAACATACCCAAATAATTAGTCCATTTTCTTATAACTGTACATATAAATTTGCATTATGGGAACTTTCTATGCATTTTCGAGAACTGTAATTTATTTAGTGTTGTTAAATATTACCTTTTTCAAAGAGAAAAACTCCAAAGGCTATGTAAATCATCCAACTTTATCTAACTCAGCCATTATTTCCTCAATACAGAAGACCTATCTTAGAACTATTTTCTTAATATTAAGAACGAAATATGAAATAAGCATGCTCCAGCATAGAATATTTAATGTTTTACGCAAATGAGGATAGAATCTTTACCGAATTTAAGCTTTTTATCCACAATTCTCAACACGTTTTAAGAAAATGTACAATAGAAAGCAACTTACTAAAAATGAGTCTTAACCAATTCTTATCGGCTTCAGATTCACTATCAATGGGAAAAACCTGATGTTCACTTCATCTAGCCTTGTCACTAGACACACAAAAGTCATGAACAATTGTGTAGTACAATCAGCACTTTAAATACAACTTTCAGTTAGGATTTTTAAACGATAAACCTATTTATATTATACATAGTATTAGATTAGTCACAAAAATTATTGGGGGAAAATGCAATTAAATATCCAAAACCCACATACTCACTAAGAATGTCCCAATCATTAAGAGAAGCAAAACTTTATCCATATTTCCACAAAGTGTGAAATCTTGTAAAGGATTAGTATAAAACCTGAGCAACAAATTATTTCCTATAACCAGTATACGATTAAAAAGAGTATTCTTATGATAGCTAATCAGCCCTTCAGAAGTAAGAATAAGGTAATGAAAAAATGGTTTTAGTAATTTTCCTTCATTTTCTAAATCTGCCCTTTTGTGTGAAAGAGAAAATTCAGTGAAACTTCCACTTTTTTCCTATGAAGGCATGCCCATTTCCCCTAACAGGCGTAAATCGGAATATTTCACTTTTCATAGATTTAGCCTTAGACTTAATTTCATCGGCAAAAGAAAATGATTTTACTTAAAAAATAGGATATATATCTTCTACTAAAAAACCTTGAAACAATCAAGGTCAGATCTATATTTGTTACTCAATGTTTCAAACCAAATTTTGATATTTTTTAATCATGATATTTGAATGATAATTTTTTAATAATGATATTTTTTCATCATTTTATTTTCACTTCCGAATTAAATTTTATACGACTGCAACAGCTATTTCAGTGTCTATTATACTTACATTGTGTAAAAGACTTCTAGTTTTGACTATTTTAATTTATGTTATTGAGAAATACATTGATTATTTTATTTTCAGAAAACTTTACAAAAAAGGAAAATTGTGTCCAATACCTCTTCTAATACTTTTTCCAATACTAATAAATTCTGCTATAGAGAGAAGATTCAATTCTTATTATAACTCTAGACTCTATTTGCAAAGAAAAAAAACACTGTAGATGGTAACTTAGCATCACATCAATTTCAGTAAGGCGAATTATCTGAAGAGCTTTCAAGTACAGGTATATTTCTAAAAGAAACTACCTAACATGCCGCTCTTTTACTTTTAATGATTTAAATAAACCCAACACATTAATAAAGTATTTGAATTTTCAATATAATTTAGTACATCTATACAGTCATTTAATTCATAAAATACCAAATATTGAAAATAATAAGAGCAAAACCATCATCATTTCAGAATTTAGGAAGAGAGTTTCAATAATGAGAGTGAAAATATACTGATCTTCATGCAAGATTTTTTATTCGTTTGATAACAAACATTTCACTATTTCGTAGATTCATAGAACATATCCCAATCTTTTTCAAAGGTTTGGGATATCATTTCACATTAATTAGGGAGTTATAACTAGTTGATAATATTTGATTTTTTAATATTGATCTCTAAAGAGGAAATCAAAATTTGGATCTCTGATCGGCATAACATGGCTCACGACCAGTTCATCCGATTATATTAAATATATTTTTTTTTTTTTTTTTTTTTTTTTTTTGCTGCGCGTAAGAAAATTTTATCATTAAATTGCATAAGCAAAGAACATCTAAGTAACAAAATTCAATGAAATAATTCAGTATTGATTACATTCATCTGCATTACCATTCTTTGATTTAATAAAATGTTTGCAAAGTCATGAGAGCCTTTTTTTCTTCTTTGAAACAGTAGACGAAATTTGTGCAATACCCCTACTCCCGGATATAAAGATTTAAAACTTAGGAAAAAACGCAGAAATGGAAACGATACCTCTATATACCAATTTCCCCGAAAGTGTTTGGAATGTATGTATCTACTTTACATGTTTGATTTTGTTTTTTTCAAGACCCCCCCCCTTTTTTTTAATTTTTATGTTCGTTTTGTGTGATTGTATGATCTGAACTTATTACCAGATGTCTATCGTTATATTTCGTTATGCAACCATTTACTTCGTTATTATTTTATTTATTTTTTTTTTGGGGGGGGGAGATGGGCCTGTCCCCTCATAGCCATATGGCAGGCTTCGCTTGCTAGGTGGGCTGGAGGCCAGTGCTTAGAACAAACTAACAACCTGTGTGATGTGATGGCTCTCGTCCAATTTTAATCAGCCATCACTGGTCTATGTGATATTTATTTTTCAAATAGTTAAATTAAATTGCAGTGTTTTGAAAAATAAATGCTAATTACCATTTGTTACGGCAGCAAAATCGAAAAAACTCAAAAATTGAGTTAAAACTGCCTTCTTCTGAAATCAGAAATTCGCACGAGTAAGCAATTCAGAATTCTTCAGAAAACGAGGAAGATGAATGATTCATTAAAATGTTTTCTTCAGTATTGACAGCAGTACTGAAGACCGCGCCTTAGTGGCAGAATGGGAAAAATGCTAAAAGTGTAAAAAAGGAACGAAAAGTTCTTTCCTCTCCTCTACACTTTATCTCATGAATACCAAGCAGACATGAATCACTGGACATACAAGTGTCTTTTATACCCTGCATTATGTAATAATTCTTTACCCAAAATTAGAAGCTGAGTACTTTAAAAATAACATCTCGGCCGTGCGTCCGTACGTCGGCGGGCTGATGCGCTAATGTAGGTTTGCAGTTTCAGCCATCTTAGGTTCGTGAATCATTGGGTGGGATGAATGAGCACTTCCGACTGGAGTGGGTCTTCCTATCGTCGGGATATTCAAAATGGTTGACCACACACGATGACATTCCATTTGAGACGATATTTCGTCGAGGATGTTCCGGCCAATTATGGTGTGGCAAGGTGTCCTGCTTGAGCTAAATCAAAACCACAACAGACTGGAATGTTAAACGCAGCTTTCCAGGAAATAAACAGCAGCAAAAATGAGTCTTATAGCAAAATAGAAAATTCAGAAGTTATTTGGCAGACTATCATCATAACAAAAAAAAAATCAAACTGTTTTCCATTTATTTTTAAAAATTTCATTATATACTCCATCTATATTTAATATTTTCAGTTAATTATAATTAAAATGCAGCTAAAATAATTAATTTTAATTACATTAAATTAAAATATTATTTTCTAATAATAATTAATTATTGATCAGATATATCACTTCATTAATAAATATGACAGGCACAGTTATTTAATTTTCATTAACTAAAGATGAACTAAAGATGATTAACTAAAAACTAAATCTTCAAGATTTAATCGGGTACCAAATAAAAATCTTTGTACATAGACAGAATAACTGGTTACCCCCCCCTTCTAGAAAAAATATTTTTTCAGTATTTGGGTTGCATGGAAAAGTTACATAAACTCTCCAGTGTGAAATAAGCAATAAAATAATTTAAATGACTTTTTAATAATAAGGAATTACTCTTACCTAAATATGATGTGAGAAGTTAATGCAATCCTTTAGTGTATATCCTTGTAGTAACTGGTTAACATATAGAGCTAATAATTAAACATTTTCTGTTTTGAGCCCTGGAAAAGGTACAACTAATTTTTCACTTGTTCCCTTCCGAAAAAAAAAAAAAAAAAAACTTTATAGTCTTTATGCTGCTATTTAAATTTAAAAAAAGTTGAAGATTATAGAATGCGGGCGTATATATACGTACAACAAAAAAACTAAGTAGGTTTATTTCTAGTGCCCACGGCGGGGCTCCAACTCTGTATTTCTCGAATACGCGTCGAATATGCTTCCAATTATACCACGAAGGCATGCGGAAAAGAGGTAGAAAATAGCTTATAAAGTATTCTTTGTATTTTCACTACATCAAATGACAAATTATAAGGTATCATTTATAAGGTATTTTCTCCCTCCATTTTGCCTGCCTTCGTGGTGTGGTTAGCATATTCGGCGCGTATTCGACATGTCCAGGTTCGAGTCTCGGAGTTGCTCATTTTTCACTTCTCCTGCTTCCAAATAACCTAATGACTCTACAGTGGCGCCCGAATTAAAAAATGTGGTGAATGATGATTCTTCACCAGCAGGATTTGACGATTAGGTTTCCGAATTTCGGCGCGTATTCAAGAGGTCCGAGTTCCAGTCCCGGGAGGGAATTTGCTCATTTTTCACCTCTCCTGCTTCCAAATAACCTAATGACTCTACACATTCAGTAAGGAAACAGAATGTTGACAATGAAAATTTTAGCAAATTTTAACAAAACCTAAAAAGATTCCACTCGGAATGCAACCAGCATGTATGAAGAAACGAATGGTATGATTCCTGTAAACATTCGTGGGATTTCATATTTATGTAATCAAGGGAATATTTAACTTTAAAGGTGTTTACTCAATTGAATTTTTCAAGTATATTCTTATCGCTCCTTGCTTCTCAATGCTCCTTTTTGCTCCTCGGACAATGACTCTTCCAGTATATATTCAGCATCCACCAGTCGGCTATAATGCACATTTTGGGGAAAAAATAGCTTAGTCACATTTAAAGAATTCAAATATAAGCTAATTAAACTAAGACCTTTTAAAGATTTAACTACTTTCCAAGAAGAAATTTTATACTGAGTGGTTTTAATCTTCCTTTCACTGAATTCCTTAGGTAGCAAAATTTATTACCTTAAGCATAAATTTTAAAAGTCGGATTAATACCTGACATGAGGCGTCAACCTATTAAGCAGCAATATTGATGATGATCGAAATCACAGCTGGTAACGCGAAACCTCTTAGCCACGTTATCAAGAAAAAACGTGATCAACACACCGTAGAGGAAATGATTAATGAAATCTTACGTAGCTAAGGTCAAAAATAAGTCGCCCGTTTACCTGACTAAGCGTCTGAGGTGGTAATAAGTATTTTCCTTCCCTTCTCTCCTTTGGGAACTATTAATATAGCCTAAGAAGATTTTGAAAGCTGGACACGAAGTGGTAGAAAATCACGATTCCAAAAGAAAACTGCGTCAACTGAGGTATGGAATGTTATATGTTGAAATGGAAAGTTCAACTTGCTCTTAAACCAACTCATTAAAATACTCAGTTTTTATCTGCAATGAGAATAAGTATTTAGCTCTAACATTTATTTTTAAGTACAGTAAATAATTAGTCCAAAAGGGCGTTAGTCCAGCAGGGCTATTAGTTACGAAACTGCATTTTGCGTCTAATCGCTCAAAGCTTCGAATCACTTTTCAAAATGTTGCCACCAAGTATTATCACCCTGTATTATATTTAAGGTATTCGACCTCGTACAAAAGACGATTTTCGGTCAAAATTTCGATTTTTACTTTATTAAATTATCTTAAAGAATGCAACTGTAGCTATCAAATACAAGTTTTTGCTTGTTTGATAGGTTAATTAGAACTGAAGTTATAAGCATTTTTCTGTAACGAAATAAACCGAAAGTTCCAATATTCTGGGCCGGAAGTGAGCGTTTAAATAGACATACCTATTTACAAACCTTATTTATCATTAAGATTTTTTAAATTATAAATCTTCGTACTAAGTTTAGATATTTTGTAATACACTTTAAGAAGCTGTTGTTAGTTTTTCCCTTAATTTCGTATTTAGTTTGGCACAAAGGATATTCGACGTTGAATGGATGTGTTGCTGCTTTGTCGATTAGCGTTGACAAAATGCTTGATTTGAAAACTATGTCACATTTTTGCATTATTTACAACAAAATAAACAAAATGGAATGCAATCTTCAGCATGACATATGTAAACCGTAACATAATTGTTTTGCAAATTATAAAGAAACAGCTTCGGGTATGGAAGCAGTTGGTGCTTATCCGCTTTTTGAATGATCTATGAAATTACGAAAGCTGAAGTACACAGAGTATTATGAGGATGGGGATTCTAAAGAGTTTTTAATTGTGAAAGATAAATATGGTAAAGATTCGGTCAATAAACTGGAATGCATTGGACATGTAAAAAAAGGGTTGGTAGTAGACTACGAAAAGTAAAAACTCCACTCCTGGATTGAAAGGAAAAGGTAAACTGATTCTTTTATTGATAAACTACAGAATAGGGATTGCAATTAGAAGTAATGTTGAAAACTTAATTGAGATGCAGCAGGCTGTACTAGCTGCTTGTTCCATTGTAGCTCTTCTTCGAAGCCAATGCGCTCCTCAATCAACGAGTTGGTGCAACTATACCAATGTGCGATTGCAGAAAAGGAAAACATTAAACTTGTTTTCTGAAAAATGTTTTTTTTTTCTGTAAATATTGCTATATTAATTAGAAGTTGAATTGTTACTTTTTATTTTTAGATTTTGGATGCAATAATAGGAAAATATACAGTAAATACTATACATTTTGACATATCTCAAGCATATCTGAATATTTCTTAATTATTTTGCTTCATTGCATACAAAACAAGTGTAAACATAAATAAAAATAATAAAAAAAAAAACTGTATATTTATGTATACATTGTTCACCGTGGTTGTTGCCGTAAAGGCAAAATTTAAACAAAAATTAGCCTTTTTTCATTATTTTTCAAAATTAAAATTACGTAGCATCGCGTTTTAAGCTGTTTTCACTCATTAATATGCTTAACTTTAAATTAATATATTTATAGTTAAAATAAAAACCATTTTTTAAAAACGGTACCCGAATGAGGGAAATTAAACAATAAAGAATCTGCATGAATATATGTATATTTTTCGCATTATGAAAAAACAATGGTACCTTGAGCCTTCAAAATTTGAATAACCTAGTCCTCCACCCGAAAATGAACACCTGGAAGCCCGAATTCAGAATTTGTTTTATTATCTATTTCATGTTTTGTAAAACTTTAACAAATTTTTGATTAAGAAACTCAACAATTTCAAAGTGAGCAAGGGCAACACGGTGTGGAAAAAAAAAAATTATCTCCAGTGCGCGAGACTGTCTATGGGAAATTCTAAAGAAATACTGTTTTTAAATATTTTTTAACACAAATGCTCTCGAAATAGGTATTTAAGTGTAAAAGAAAAAAAAGTCTTTTTGGGAGTAATAAAAAATCTGAAAATTTTTAGATTTAAGTTTTTATTCATGAGCGAAATGACGTTAATTTTGGTATGCTGTAGAATTTAATCATTCATAGAAATAATTTAATAGCTCCAAAACATAAGTGCACTATACTTTTAAACATGCAAAACATAAACTATACTTTTCAATGCATAATATTTCTCAAAATTAAAAATTATGTAAAATGAAATAGCCTTGCAGTAGTTTAGATTTAGGGTAAAAGTCTGTCAATAGAGATGACTAACATAGTACATAAGTCTCTTTTTTCCTCAGTAGCAAAAATATTTTGCTCCTGAAGGGGAAAATTTTGCTTGAAATTTTTCCCGTTCATAAAAATTTATCTTTTTCAGTAAAGAACATTAATTCCAATCCAGTTCTTCTCAACATTTACAAAATTCTAACTTAGTTTATCCACTTTTCATTACTGTCTACCTCGAAAAATGGAGCTGTATTCGTTTTCACTTTGTCTTGATTTCATTTTGAATAGGATTGCTGCTCCTCTTGTCTCTTCAAAAGTTTTGATGTTTATGAACAATAATGAACCTATGTTTGATCGCCTGCGAAATCGAAAGTTTTATTCAAAATATATATATGCCAAAATGCTTAGAGTTTTCTCAAACCCATGCTTACAATATTCCATATTTATCTCTATTCTCTATTATTAAATAATGAACATTTATGTATGTGGGTTGCTCGCATTGTGCAAAATCGGTGGTATATACAGCCACTAAATTACGATAATACATAGTTATCCGCTTAACCTGTACACCTCGAAGCCACAATTTTGATTATGAATTTTTATTTGTTTCACATTTTGTACGAAATTAGTGATTTGGTTGGTTTTTTTTAATTATGGCAAATTATACGAGGACTATCTACTTAAATGGAGGGGATGCCTTCGTGGAAGGATTTTTAGGAGAAATTGGCTCGTATATAGGTTACACATGAAGATAACCACGAAAATGCCCATGCAGCCAGCCCGTTTGCAGAGATTTTAACCCTGGTTGAATCTTCAGCGATCTTACGGCTCGGCCGCTGGTGAGCCGCGAATTTAGTGGATTTTTGATTAACATACTCAGCAAGTGAGCAGTTGCAATACTACTCGAAATAAAATATTTTTGTCCACAGGGCAGCAGACTATTGCCATTTGAAAGAAATTTAATACATATATCTTTCAACATTAATTAACAAACTCGTCTTTTTAAAAGCAATGTGTTGGAAGTGTTTGAGACTTTTTATCTCCCATCCTACTATTGTGTTGCCAATCAGTAAAGCGAAAGATATTTAACTTTCAAATTTAATCTGTCTGTTGTAGATTAACAAACTAAGGGATTTAAAACAATAAACGCAGTTGTTAAGAATGCTTTTCCTACTTTTTAATCTGACTGATTAAAAAAAATTTAATTCAGGACATGTCCAATTAGAAATATTTGCTATTTTTATGAAATTTCACTAGCTTCAATCATTAAAATTATATCTATATCTACATTTATATAGATTTAGAATTACAAAACAGTTAAAAAAA